CTGTGGGACACAGGCCCTTGCATGAGTATTCTGAGTCGTTAGTGTTGTGGATAGGTTTCTTGCATCTTTTTCTGTTAAACTCTGGATGACCATCATAAATAATGTTATAAATTCCATGTTCTGATGGTAATGGCTCTCTTGAAATCCATTACTACAACAAGCAATGAAACAGCTCCACTAAAGAACACAATGAAGTGACCAAGTACCCAAAATCCGGCCCACATCAGCTTAGAAGCTGAGGAGTCAACACACAGATGAAGATTGAGGAGACACTGTACACTAGACTATAGTTATCTTCAATGTTCTGCTATCCAATTGGGTTCTTGATCCTATTCCTCTTGGATGTCATGGTGTTTGCTGTTGACCTTGGGACAATGGCCCTAACGAAGTGGGAAATTCCAGAGGTGATTGCTTTTGTTCTATTATCCCTACTTGTTGCTATTAAACTAAATATTCAACTATTTGAAATGATTTTCCTAGTGCTAACTTGATTAATACTTCTGGGATTACACTTAACAGTCACAACCCAGGCTTCACCTTTCCTGCTCTTCATCCTGCAGGTGAAGTTTCATGACATTATTTCACAGATAAAAATAGCCAGTGCTGATGAACTTGGATGCATCCCTCTGAATATAGCATTGAATCTCCAAAAGTAAACAATATTGGAATTAACCAGGCTATAAAAGCAGGATTTCCCTCTGTTGTGTTTTTATCCCCATAGGCTATTTTTGGAAGCCCAACAGAAAGCAGAGCAGAAGGTCTATAGAAGACTTCCCTGCATGGAAGGTACTAAAAGACACTTAAGCATAATTTAGGTGACATAAACCTGGTGACTTATGGATTGTATATGAATCCTAAGATGAAGCAGAATTATAATATTAAAAGAGAAGCATACTGTCCAAAGTGATGTTGTAGGACCATAGGATTCTGGGTATGGCAGTATGGGGGGTTATACCTTACAATTAGAAAAAAAAGTGACTAAAATCCAATGACCCAGGGGTGGGCTCAGAATAACGAGTTCTAACATGTATATAGAGAATAGTTACAACGTTGCAGAACTGCATAATCAGACAAGTTCTGTTTGCGGGTTTGAATCATACTCAAGGATATTAATAATCCAATTTGAGCAAGAAGGCTCATTTAGGGCATTCAAATATATATGCAAATATACGGAAGGGAACAGAGCAAAGAATTCTTTCTTACATACCAAGGACTGAAATTTTGGTCTGAAACCCTGCTGCATTTTTTCTTACACTCTCCTGCATGTTGCATGTTTGTGTAAGCCTGATGCCAAATGTCTTATCTAAGGCACCCCTAAAAGAAATACCTCACCCCTGCTAGATATGCAGGATGACCCAGGCCAAAAAGTGCAAAATCTAGGATTTACTTTATAGGACTAATAAACTTCTAAAAATGTCACACCCCATGATAGTAAGGAACTTCTGGATGATTAGTAGACCAAATTAAACTTTTATGAACCTATAGCTTCCTCAACCATAGTTATACCCAAAGACCCTGTTACCTGGAAGACTGAGAACCCATACCTTTAGTCATGATAGAGACTGTTTATGAACAAGAATTTCATGTAGGACAGGGTGACAATGAGGTTACATGAAACCAGACTAGGGTTCAGGATTGCACCTACTGGGAGGCTCAAGAGTTGTGGTTTTCTCTACTAATGGGTTGTTCAAATGCCTCAACCATAGACCAAACTTTTACTATGACACTACCTTGCCTACTACCAAAGCTCATTCACAGAGTGACAGCTGCACATGTAGGGAGTCACGACTGATGCCTTTTGGTTAACCACTAGACATGACAAAGCAGACTGCTCTACTGCAAGTAATTGTAAGGGCATGCATCCTGTGACACTTGCAATTAGTGCTGGAGCACTAGCCCATTCTGAAACATGACTCTAGAGGCTTCACTGAATAACACACAGCATACAACAGAGCATCATGTGGAGGTAGTCAGTCATTAAACTGTTTCATAACCAGGTGAACTCCCTGGCAAATGTATATTTAAACAAATTTAGAACGGGACTTAGCCTTTCTTTAATGGAACAAGCAGGGCATTCTACTTTAATAAGAGAAACTGCAGTTTCTATGCAAACAATTAATGGATAAACATAGAACCTTTAGACAAATCAGGACAAGAATCAAAGGGGGAAAACTGCACAATGAAACTCAATATGATATTGTTCAATTGGAATGTGTAGCTGGACTCAATCCTAGAAGGAATCACAGGGCCAATATTTAATATCATAGTTGTCCTCAAATTTAGGTCATGCCTAAAATTAACTGGATAATACATAGGATTCAAAGTAGTATATATCAATCACATATGATACTATTGGATGACTGTAATACCACTCAGCTGAACTAGTAACCACCACCTCATGAAGGTCTAGCTATATCCTAGAAAATAATATATTGTTGAGTGGAGAATGTGAGGGCATTCACATCCCCCAGTACTGTTTCTCTTTTCTGCTTTTGCACTAGAAATACCACAAATCCTGGTCTTCAAAATTCCTCTTACTTTGTGGTTTATATGGATATCTAGTTAGCAAACAGAACTGAAATACTAAGTGAACTTTGGCCAAATCCCCAAAGTCTGCTCCTCTGCAATAACTGGTCAGAAAAGATATGGAAAAGGAAAAAAAGTGTTTTCATCTCAAGCCACCAAAAGGCAAGTTTCCTTACATTTTGCATCTTGATTAACCAGACATGTAAGAAACTCTTCTAAGATTCCAAAGCAAAATAAGTACTGCATTGATGGGATTCATAGCAACCCTCTAAACTTGTGGACTTGCATAGCGATTTATAACCAAAGTGAAAAAAGGCATCATCAGTGTAGTCACCAGTCTTAATGTCCCATGGCTGACCTGCACTGTTTAAAATATACCTCACCTGTTTGTGGAACTAAGTGTCCCAAGCGTTAATATCTTGAAAATGCCATAACAATAAAACACAACCTGTGGAGTCCAACATCCAGTGAAGCCCTTTTCCCAGAAGAAACTTGCAGAGCCTGTATATTTTCCTGAAAGGATTTCTATCTTGTATCAGCTGTGTGTTCTTTTGTGATCTGAGGTGCATCTCTCACATAGATCAACCTAAAGGATTTCAGCTCTACTATTTCTAAAGGCTTTTGAACTGCATGTTCAGGTATAGACACCACAACAACCCAACTCTTTGGGTACCAAATGTAATGTTGGGTATTTTCTCCCACTAATGAGACAAGATATCCAATATTTAAAATCAAGGAAGGAAAGGTATGTTTATATCACATTTTGTGGACATTTCACTCTATAATCAACTGACTCCACGGGAGAGTAGTGCATGGTAAAGGGCAACATTTCATGGCAGCAAAAATCAATGAAATCAACAAGAGCAAAATGAATGAAGCATGGGAAGAAAATTCTTCCTGTTCTTTATTTTGCTTGTAGACCACACCGACTTGTGTGTAGTAGCACTCACACCTTTAATCTCAGCTTTGGACCATGAGTCATTCAGAAAATCCGGAAGCCTGCTTCCATGACTGCATGAGATTTTGGAGGAATTTTCAGACTCACACCAAACACTTCATTTTACAAATGTCTTAGAATGTTTTAGGTTCAAATTTAATTACTTCTCCGTAGGATATTTCCAATGTAGTATCCTTTTCCAACAAGAAAGATTTATACATAGTGTGGGTAGGTCACAGATACACTCTCACATGATCAGAAGTGACATGGGAAAGAAGACCTATTTTTGTTATTCTTTTTGTTCTTTTTTTGTCTACCTGTAATATGTTATTAAATGCAGATTTTGTTTAATGACATAAGGTACACTAGATTCGAAATTATAGGGTATGAGACACAAAGAGTGAAGAATTATTCGGAAAATGAAGAGGTTTGTTGATGACATCTCTGACAGTGAACTTACTGGCCTATATGTCCCTTTTCTGTCCTGTTAGTCACTTGTATAAGCCTAATTTTGACATTATCACTCCCCATTTCCATTGGGGAACTTGATTCATATGGTTGTCCACATTTGGCATTCTCTGATCTATCATCTGCTTTCCATCTGAGGGAAGATGAGAGGCTGTGGGACAGGGTAGGAACACCAGAATGCTGGTAACTGAGTAGGTTATCAAAGACTGTGTTTGTTTGTTTCTTGTGGTAATGAGAAATGCAGGACAGAGAGTGCAATGATTCAAACTTTAGAGTTTCCCTTAGGATTACATGTTGGTGAATGCCAGTTGCAGGGAGGTTATAGGAAGGAAATAGATTCAAGACTCTATTAGAAATAGGTTGGCCGGCCAGGTGTGGTGGCTTACGCATGTAATGCCAGCACTCTGGAGGCTGAGGTGGGAGGATCATTGCAAGTTCAAGAGCAGACAGGACTACAAAGTGAGCTCAAGTCCAGCCTGAACTGCAAAATGAGACTCTGTCTCAAAAAAAGACAAAAAAAAAAAAAAAAAAAGAAAGAAAAAGAAAAAATAAATAGGTTGGCTGGGGGGGAAGAGGTGGTTCTTCTTTGTAAATTGATCCAGTGTCAGGAGCAAGGGACATGGATTTGGGATAGTTACAAACAATGAATATTAGCAGACTGTCTCTAAACCTAAAGTATAGGGTAAGAAATCAATGTATGCTACTTGCCCAGAACTCTTAGATTTCCTCCTCCCCCAGTTCACTCTTTGGGCCCAACTTGTGGAACTAGTAAGAATCCAGAGTTGCAGGGTGTGGTAGCACAGATCTATAAGCCCAGCACTCAGGAGGAGAATTTCTCTTTCCCTGAGTGTAGTGCTCTCATATTCTAATTCACATTTTCAAGGACAATTGGCACTACATAATAACTTGAATCAAAAAACCAAAGAATGAAGGAAAGGAAAGAAGTAAATATGGAGGGAAGAAGAAAGAAAGAAGAAATGAATAAAGGAACAAAGAAAAGAAGGAAGGAGAGAAGAGAAAAAAAGAAGAAAGGAAGAAATAAAGACTATAATTTATGGATATATCTCACCTGCTTTCTTCCAAAGCTTCTGTTCTGTCTGCTTTCAGATACTCACTAGAGTCCTCCAGTTTTCTACCAGGCTCAGCATCATTATATATCCTCAAGGTCCAGTTGTGCTTTCCAAGTAAATGGCAAAATGCTCAGTCATTGGGGTTATTATGCATCCATCTTTCTCAAAAACTACCCTTGCTGTAATGAAACACATTAGTTTCATCACTTCACGACATGGGGACCTGGTAAATTATTCACAACATTCTATAATCCACTACTATCCTTAATCATTGCTTCCTGGGTTCAGATTTTAAATTTTATCTAATCCAAATAAGGTAATTTATCCACTTCTTATTACTTACGTTGAAAACTTATTACTTATTTAAACTTATTACTTATGTTGGAGTAGAAGTCTACCCAGTACTTTACATTGATTATTAAATAGAGTAGTACACGGGGTATAAACTGCTTATCAACACTGTTGTAGTCAGGGGTTGTACACAGAGAACAATTCAGGTGGGACATGGAGTTTATAATATTTTTATAATAGTCACCGGAAGTAACACAGGAGAATGCAGGAAATCTATCCACAACACCAATGACATAGATGATTTAGTCAAGAGCCTAAACCCCATGGCAATGTCTCACGTGAGTCCAGATAAAAACCCAGCGCTCAGGACAATGCCTCCACGAGTCCAACTGGAAGTCCAGGGCCCACAAGGACTCATGCCAGTCTCTTGTACAGATTCATGCCGGGAAGACCCAAGGGTCAGCGGTGGAAGCCAGAAAGTCCATGCCAGCAGGATGAAGGAGCTGTGCTAGTGGGATGAGGGTTCTACACTGGAGCTGAGAAGTCACACTTACAACAAAGAGCGGGGCTGTCCTGAAAGGAACCACAGCTGTCCTCAGCGACACGGAGGCCCCGAGCTCCTCTGGCGACAAGCACAGTCAGGAACGTGCCAGGAAGCAGCGTGAGGAGTTCACCCTGGAGACCAGGCAGCACATGTCTTCCCCTCCGGAGCCAGGAAGCAATGCTCGATGTGAAGACCAAAGCTTCTCCAGGAGAACCAACAGCTCAGACAGCAACTTGTAGGAGAACTAACAATGCCTCCATAATGCCTCGATCCCTCTCTACACCTTTTGTCTTCTCCACCTATTTATCCTGGCAACCCTTCTCAGGTGGAGGATCTTCTCTCAATGCATACTGATGTAATCCAGCTGGTGTTAAGTTGACCACCAGTTATCAAACCATAACAAACACCAATACCTATTCTTCTTTTGGTTTCCTAGTTTAAGCTGAGCATAGGCTGCCCAGATAGTTCATACTACCTAACCTTTGTGGCCAGAGAGTTTGATTATGGGATTAAGTTCTATTTGGAAGTATGCAGATGAAAGAGATCCACACAATTTCTGTGGCCTTTCTTAGAGAAGAGTGTTTCCTCACTATTCATTTTTACTGTGGTTTTCAAACATGAGAAGACATCTCAGGAACATCTATCTTTTGCCTACCTTATATCTGGAAACAGTCATATCCTCAAAGAGTCCTGGTATTTTTGCATGTTTTGTGCTAAATAAAAAGCTTTGTGAAGCGGTGTAGTTTATGAAGTGATTTTGTCAGCTCATTGCTTCTGAGATTTAAGAGAACAGTACATGCATCAATTTCTTTCTGATGAGGCTCTAGTGGTAACTGGTATAACAATAGTTATTATTACTGAATTATTAATGGCCTGGGTTAGGATCAAGTGTGATGACTCATTCTTGTGGAAACTAATCCATTTTCATGAAATGTGACCCACTCCTGTGATTTGCAACTTTCAAGTTTCCTAGGATACAAATGGTGTGAGCATGGAGAAAAAGCACAAGAGTCAAGAGTACAAAAACCTGAGACCATTTGGAGCCCTCTTTCTTGATGGAAAGTACAATGAATCAGGAGGAGAGAAAGAAGGAGCTAGAGGAAACCACATGGGAGCTCCATGGGATGCAGCACATTATTATTTATACAGTTGGGAGATTCAGTATCATATGAAACCTCTCCACCAAAGAGCTTATCCACATCACCTGCCTCAGGCACCCAGTGATTTTGGGATAAGAGCAGCTATCCCTGTGACTTGACTCAGGAAGTCCCTGTTCTTCAGACTAGCCTTGCTTTGGCACCACATGTGATCCATTTTTAGCTTCAGCTGCTCTGCTGAGTTAGCCAGACTTTTACTTTCCCTGAGTGTAATGCTGTCATAGTCTAATTAATTTCCAGAATGTTCTAAACCTTAAGGCTTTATTACTTTATCCCTGCCACACTATGAACCCAATACACAGAATAAGAGTCCCATCCTAGAATAGGAGTTCAGATATGTAGGGGATTTATCTCAGCAGCACAAGCTCCTGCTTTACAAGAAAGTAGTTTTGAATTCCATCTCTGGTATGGAAAAAAAGAGTTCAAACCATACCCAAATCATGACAATCTGCAATACGTTTAGGTAGCTTTGCAAAATGCTGAGCCACTTGTCAGCATTTCCTTGCTGAGACAAAACTACTTGACACACATAACCTAAAGCACGAGTGGTAGACTTTGGTTTGTATACTCAGAGTTTGGGTGTTCCAAGGCACAAACATCATGGAAGAACTTCCTGGATGTGCAAATTTGTTCTTATCATGGCAACAAGGAAAGGATCAAAATGAACAGCTGCAAGAGATACTCCCCCACCCCAATCTATTCCACAATATGCAAGATCCATGGGGCGCCAACTCTTAACATTACACGCAACTGTGAACATCCATGGATGATTACACTGAGGGTTGCAGTTGCCAAGTCAGGAGATTTGTAATCTCATCAAGTTGATGATGTTGATTAACTGGCACAGGAGTCATGTGACCAGTTATTCCAAAGGTACTTGAAGTAGCAGTGGCAGATAAAAATGCACTGTGGAGATTTTGGGTTTCAGAAATTCAGTTCAGGTGTGGATAAGTAATCTCAGCATCCTGGTAGACTGAGATGTTTTGCCAAAAATTGGATTAAGCCTAAGAAACTCAGCTAATTAGTGAGATCTTTTTTTTCCAACTAAACAATCGAAATTGGTATGAAAGTCCAAGATTTAATCCCCAAAACCATCTTCGTCAAAAAAAAAAAATTCAGCCCTTAAGGATGGTATTATTAAAGTCATTAGGAATTGTTAAATTTTCTACATCTTTAAGTTGTTATTGTGCTATTTTAAAATTTATGCTCAGAGCTTTCCTAGCAGATATACTACTTCACTTTTAGGCTATATTTTTCATTAAAAATATTCCTTTTTATCATCATTGGTGTTACTTTGTGTGCCTCCAACGTACAGTGATTTGATTCTATTTCACAATCTTGCTTATAATCATAATAATACAGCATTACATTGCAGTGTTTGATCTACTTCCTCTGTGTTATTCAGGTATCATGCATTGTGTGTTTGGATATCTGTGTGTGTGTGTGTGTGTGTGTGTGTGTGTGTGTGTGTGTGTGTAAATGGCTCCCAAGTGTTCATACATGTGCAAGACTGTAAGCTATCACTGATATCCCTACACACCCAGTCCCTGAGATAATTATTTCTCTACTAGTGGCAAAGTAGAACAAGAGTAACTGGACTCACCCTACAGTAAACACTTTTGTTGATTTCATAGCTTTTCTTATTTATTTAGGACTGTACCTTCTGGTTCTTTGGCCTTTTCTGTTCTTGACCAGCTGAAGTAGGATTGTAGTTCCAGAAGTTTCTCCAAAATGTGGTCTTTTTCCTACATGCATGTTTTGGCAACCTGCATTGAGTGTTCTTAGGGTTCACAGTACTCAATTCCTTCTGCTCTTACTTGGAACTTCAAATCCACAAAGCTTGCTGCAGTGCTGCCTGTTATTCTCACATTTTCCCTGGGAGGATTTCTGAGATTTTGTGGTTATATGAGAGATTATTTTCCTCTCAAGCCTATTGGAAGTATTTCTGTTTCCTTCATTCCAACATGACTAGTTTGATTAGTGTTGATTTTTTTTTTTTTTGTGTGTGTGTGTGTGTGTGTGTGTGTGTGTGTGTGTCTTTTTGAGACAGGCTCTAGCTATGTGGTTCACATTGGTCATACATTTGTTAGGATCCTCCTACCTCAGGCTCTGGATTTCCAGGATTAAAGGCATGTACTACTATGCCTGGCTGCTGCTGTTGATTCCTGAATACTCAAATTCCAGAAACCTGCCCTACCTCTTTACAAACTAGAAAATAGAAAAATTAGGCATAGTGGACTGTCTTAAATCCCAGAATACAACAGTCTCAGGATCATGGAAGGCCTAGAAATAGCTTGGACTACATAACAAGACACTGTTTCAAAATTTTTAACTAAGTAAATTAATGAAAATTATAAAGAAATTCAGCAGCAGCAAAAGAAATCCTTTTCATTAAGAAGACAGAACACAGGTATAGAAAGAATGAATTGAATCTGTTAATTTGAGTAAAACATGCTGAGCTCAAGTGGATTAGAGTACTTTGCAAAGATCCCCCTTAAGGTGGATCCTTATCTAAGTGGTATCATAGGGAATCCAAGAAGGGTGGGTCACATCTGTTTGAGAAGAACTCACCCTGTTTTCAGCACAACTCCAAGATTTGAAATGGGTTCTTTGTGTCTCCAGAGTGCAAACAGCCTTTCTGACTCTACTTAATGTATGTGACTCTGTGTGCCGCAACTCTAAGTTAAGCATTTAAATCTTGTAAATTTGATTACTAGCACTTAATGTGTTTACCTAGCAAGCACTGTCTAACACAGATAGGGATATTTCAGGTAGTGTACCTGGGGCTCTATGAAATAGAATCCCAGATATAAATTGTATTAAGAAAAATAAATAACACGTCTGAGCTCTTGCCAAGACAGCACAATTTTACTTCATTTCATTTTTATAAAATTTCTTTTAGAAAACCACAAGGATATCACCAGGGGCATTAAGATAGCAAGTGAACACCAAGATTGGCATGATGTCATTAAGGAAAGTTTTCTGTCACTTACTTGTCCTGAAAATTTCTCCCTTGGCATGGGCAAGCTTGACATCCCTTAAGCACAATATTTCTTTAGCTGCTGGTCTTTCCTTGTGACAACAGACCTGTGTGAGTTGGGCAGAGGGCTCAAATGAGGGATTCCTAGAATGCTTGATGTGCACTGGGATAAAGAAATAAGAAACACAGTTCCCTCCCTCACTGCTTTTATCTATTCTTCATGGTGCCCTATCTAGTCTCAAATGCAACAGTATCAGGTGAAGGGGCAGGAGTGGGCACGTTACCTGCCTTGGCCTGGTTGTACCCTTGTAGGAGAGGAGGATGGCGATTTGATAACACAGAATTCTGGAAAGAATTGTGTGAGTCAATTGGCATGCAAAAGGGAGCAAAGGAAAACAAGTGGGAAGGAGAGGCGTCTGCTTGCCAAATTAAAACCTTCTATGGCCAAGGAAGGGACTGAGATACAGTCACATTTTCTGCCTAATCCTCAGCAAACTTTTTACCCCATTACACTCCAAAATCTATGTTAAGAATAATATAGTGCCATAGGCAGAAAATGGAGATCAAATACAGTGTTCAATTAGGTGTTATCACCACAAACCCCATAAATTTTCAGAGGGCACCATTTGTTTGAAGCACACTCCAGTTATCTGTGTCACAGCCCTAGACTGCTTTGGAAGGTTAACAGCAATGAGGTGTGTTAGAAAAACAGGTGACCAAACAGGCATGCTGGTACACACTTCCAATCCCAGCATTTCTGGGGAATTTAGCATGAAGGCTCGGAAACATAAATCCCATCTTTGTAAGTCTAGTAAATAAATTGGACCAAATCTTCTCTCCCAGATAAATAAATGGATGAGAGACATAAATCAGTGGCAAGTCTATCAATCTCCAGTAGCAACAAACAAAACAAAATCGACTGTGTCATAAAATATTACTAACGTAGACCTTTTAGTAAAATTTTTTGCTGCTTATGGAACTGAATCTTACTGTGGAGTTCCAGCTTTCCTTGAATAGTTAGCAATTCTTCTTCCTTGCTCTCCAGAGTGGTTCAATTACAGGAAAATATCATGATAACAAGCAAAAAGCAGACTTCTTAGGTGAAGTTTTTCTTCCAGGAATCAATTAACAACTGAGT